CCCCATATGGAAAAGACGTAGTCCTACGTCAAAAATATAGCAGACCGGTTTAACATACTTCAAAGTACGTCACACTATATTATTACATTTTGATGTTGCAGAATTATGACAGATAAACTGAATATCTTTTGAGTTTGTCCTTTATCTTAGAGTCGGTGTATAATGAGTCACGCCAAGAGAAAAAAAGGTTGAACGGGCATCACGGTTTTCGAAAGATTCCCTTCCTTTTCACTTGGCAACAGAGGACTTCTACATCAACTTCAAATGACTTCTAGCGAGAAAAAAAAATAGCGGCTGTAGTGAATCATTATTTCAGTAATTTCGTCAAATTATCTTATCAAAAAATAGTAGAAATTCTCATTACTGATCATTACCAAACGTATCCCATGACAATTTAATGCTCACTACGTGTTTATGATCATTTATTCAATTATATTTTATATTTTATTGCAATACCTTTCGTGGACCTTTCATAGCATCGTAATGTTTGTTTACTTTGCACGATAGGTAGCCAGTTTGACAGTTCAATTGGTAGACTTGGCTTCACTCTTGGCGTGACTAATTTCTCATGCTTGTGCATCATGATTTAGATATATTTGGCAGCACTGGATAGCTTATACTGTTAGGTGTAAGATTTAAACAAACAATGTTGAGTAAATGTAAAGATGTCGAAACAAGAGAGCAATCTGTCAGCCGTTGTCGCTTTGTTGCGCACCGGAGTATGCATGAAAGAAATAATTTGGTCGGTAAATGTGTCTGAAAGAACAGTGTATAATATTAAAAAAGGCTTGGGAAAGTGATAAGACGGAGCACCTGCTCATACTGCTAATAAAGCACAGAAATGGCTCACGGAAAATATTTCGTAAATTTGGGAGGAAGAAATTTGGCCCCCAAGCAGTCCCGATATAGAAAATAAGAAAATAAATCGCACAAAATTCATTGCTAGAATAACTAACTGGTGTATTTTTCTCAAATATGCCATTTACTGCAAAAATTCGTCACGCACCCTGTATAGTAAAAATAAGAATAAATTCAAATTGATTTTATACGAGTTTAAAAAATAACATACCTCCAATTTTTTCATATAAGTGAGAATAACATACGCCCTTTCAAATGCCGTTAAAAAAACTTTTTTTTTTTGCCCCAACCAGAGATATTAACATTTGAAAAGTGCATATTTTTAGTATAAAAACGTCAATAACTCTTGATCGGCGAAAGATATTGACAAGCTTTGTGCAGCAAAAATTTGCGCATTTTAAAGATCTAAAAGTTATTTGAAGACATCTTTGCTGAGAAGTTTGAGATAAGAAAACTAGAGCAAAACAACTGTTTTGATAGAGACACCGTAACTCAATATAAGAAAATAGTTCTTAATCGGTCAATTTAAGAGATACAAAAAGTTGTTTTCAACAAAGTTGCTTGGAATTAGCTCAGCTATAACTTTACTGAAGAATGTATACCTTAATTTATTCAAACAAAAAAGTTAGATTTTTGATTTTAATGATAATAAGAACCACCCTAGAATTCATTGTCATAAAAATGAGGGCCTAACTATAAGGAACAACTTTGTAGAAGAGACTTTTAGTCTAAAGTTTCAACTTCAAGCTCAAAACATATCATTCCACCTAAATCTGCATTCTGGACCACTGTGCACTGTTATGGCAGGGTCCACTTGATGCAGACATGAGTCGGTATAGATGGATTCTGCAATCATACCAAGAATCATACACTGTTTCAAATAATCAATGCAATTGTCAGGACTCTACAATCCACAGCTTGTTTGCTTCTCTTTTTGTGGACGGGAACCATGTGTGCACTAGAGAAAGACATGCGGAAAAGACGCTGAAGTGGAATTAATAAACTAACAATATGTCTCTTCAAAAATACAGGTGAAACTCCATCAGTTCCATTCGATGATTTCTCGTAAGCCATGGTTCTTCCTGGCAAATCAACATCACCATCGAGTAGAGGAAGACTTCCTCTACCCGATGGTTATGTTGGTTTGTGTAGGCGTGCCTTGAATTCCGAGAAATCAACGAAAGAAGTCATTGTTTACAAAGGCTGTTACTCTTATGAAACTCGTGTCTCGCCCTAATTCCAGCTCTATCTAGTTATATCCTGAGCGGTGGCAGCAACTTCTCCGTTGAATTCCATAGACGATGGGAAGCCAGACTCCCTGCGTTGCTCGCGTATAGCTTAAGTTTACGCTGGATGCCTGTTGCAAGATTCCCGGTAGCGCTGGCAGAGCGCAAATACACAGGGAGAATTTCTGTTAGCAAACACTAAAAGAACACCACAACAAATCCAAATTTCATTACTTAACAAGTATATTTATCCCCAACATCCCTGCTCCTTGCACAAAGACCTGATTCTATCTACTGGCTGATCATATGTATATATGTAGTGATTTAACAATAAGGAACGTGCTCACCGCCGTTTGTTGCTGACTGACATGCTGCCTTGGCCGCCATCTCGACGACTAATCTCGCCGAGGAGCTTCTGCCGCGCACCGACCCGTCGTGACGGTTCTGCCAGGTGGTGATACCGACATCCCGTCGATTCTCGAACTCTTCGATGTGGCAAACGCCTCCTTGGCGCGGATCAGGGTTCTCTAGCACTTCAACCTTCATTCGCATCCGCTACGCTTTCCACCGCGACTGGTGGATCTCGCTCTGGAATGTGCGCCGCTGACTCCCTCCGCTGATGACGACGACGACTATGTTCGGTCCTCGGCAGACTTCCCGGATCAGACCACCGGTGTCTCGACGCTGCGACCGCGTCCGCAGCGAGGTCTGCCCCGGCTCGCTTTCGTCAGCGACGGTTGCCAATCAGCTCCGTAACAAGACCCTATATGTGTGACAAGTTTTAGTCATCGGTGTTTTCTTGCCAACCTTGGCAAACTTACCCTTGACGGGGTCTCGTTGCTTTCCTGGTGCTCGTGTGGAAGGAGCTTCTACCCGTTGGACGGATGTTTTCCTCAGTCTAGCGCGGGTACCTTGCCAGGTTCGAACAACCTCGCGGCGATCCCGGACAATCTTCCGGTTAACAGGGCTGAATCCGCAGTGAGCACAACGAGCTTTGTTGTTTTGTGTTCATTTGCGCAAACGGATTATAAACTTACTCTCGACGGGACCTTGTTACTGCTTCGCGGATCTGCTGTATGAAACTCGTGTCCGTTCGACGGAGGTGTTGGTCACCATTACACTTCGACTTTCCGGGAACCACGAACGGTTGGTCGGGTGACTGACGCGGATCAAATTTCCGTTTTTCCTCCAAATGCGCACGTTTTGCTCACCCACGCCGCCCACGTTCGTGATTTGCTGGGGTACTTCGAACAATGCGAATCCGTGTGAGCGTTCATCCACTCCTTTTGTCGCCGATCGAGAACGTTTTTCCAACTCTTACTGGGCTTGCCACGCGATGTGGTTTTGTTCGGGCGAATTGCCGCTAACCCGCTCCGATCTCTCCGATCTACGTGGACCGCTCAATAGGACGTTGGCCGAGATCTCTTTCAGGGACCGATTTCCCGCGGACACGCACCAAACCGCACTACACCACATCGATCAGAAGCAGAAATTCCACACGTTTTACAGGAGACAAAATTCGATTCACCTTCCTAATGGAACCGCGTATTCAGTGTGCCTGCTTTTTTTCCTTCTCCTCTTCGCTCGCGTCGGAGCGGAAATTGCCTTGTCACTCTTGTCAAGCACGAGCAGTGAGCAAATTAATAACTAGCGAGCATCTTTTTTCAAGCAACGAAGGGGTTCGGACTTATTGCTATAATGGTCTTGTTGCTATACTGCGTGTACGTTACGCGTTGTGTGCTAAATTTAACTTTACATTTTGCCTTCACAGTAAACGTAACATGCCTCATTGGAAACTTGAAAAGCATTCACGACTGACTCGCTGGGACATTTGACTCAGCCTCACATAATGAAGTTTCACAGGAAGCGTGCGATACTTCGTAAATCTTCTCAATGCTGCTCTATTGATTGACTTCAACCTTCGTAGCTCTCGCGTTTGCCACGGATGGTGAGAAAGTTTGTGATGAGTTCTTTTCGGGACGTGTCTACCAATGCCATATACCAAGACATGTGAAAAGGTTTGCGCTGCAGCCTTAACGTCATCAGGATCAATGATGTTCTCCCATTCCATGCTAGACAATACTTCTATGATGCTACGGTGGTTAGTTTTACGGAAGTCATAAGCAACCGCAGCAGGATAATCGTCGAAATCACGCAGAATGGACTATACATTTTTTTTTTTATTATAGTCGCTTTAACGCTCTTGGGTCATTCGTGACTTGAGAGCGTTAAAGTGACTATAATAATAAAAAATCTATTGTCCATTCTGCAATAGATGTTGATCGATCCAGCGTCGTATGAATCAGTCTAATAAGACGCCGGAAACCATATTTAATTGTCTGTTAATGTTCATTCCTCTTCGCGAATATATCATGTAAGTCTGAACGTCGGTAAATCTTTAATCCGTTATTGATCGGCCCATATCACGATATCAGTTTGTAAAACTGTAAGTCTGAGAGTTCAAAAGAATTATTCCTCGATAGGCATTGAGGCACTCCAATCTGGTACTCCCTTTTCGAATAAAGCCGAATGAAACCGTACAACCTGTTAGTAGGCAATTCTAAGTAATATTTCTGGCTAGTGTTTACTCTCGTGAGTTGAAGTTTATTCTGTTTATATTTTTTCAAGTAGGTGTGACAAGAATCAGAACACATTGTACAAGGATTGTGATATTGGCACCCACGCATAAAAACGGCCTCTCCTCTATCCACTTTGTTCATACACTAATCATATTCAAAGTGTAATGAGGAAAAAAAAATAGTGCACAATAAGTTAACTAATGGTTACAACAGTATTTCTCGAATAGTTTTGATCCTCGTCCTTAAATCTTTGTACATCACACCTGAATAGGATAGGCAACTATTTTTCTTGGAACATAAACTTCCAACCATCCTTAAACAAGGAAACCCCTTCTCTCGGTATCTCTCTCTTTCTCTTTCGCTAAAACTACAGTCTTTTCTAAAGGTGATGATGCTGATGTGCTACCACGGTGTTCTATGTCGGTTTACCTGGTGGTTGACCCTCGTCATCGCCGGAGGTCCCCACGTCTAAATTCTTCAACTGCTGGTTCCACATTTCGGAATAGACTCCCTGTTTGTCCAGCAGCGACTCGTGGCGACCCCGTTCGACGATCACTCCGTCCTTCAGGACTAGGATTTCATCCGAATGAATGATCGTCGACAGCCGATGCGCGATGATCAGCGTGGTTCGGTTGGCACAAACCTTCGCCAGTGCCGACTGGATATTTCGTTCCGTTTGCGTATCCAACGCACTGGTAGCCTCGTCCAGTAGGACAATGAACGGCGACTTCAGGATAGTGCGAGCAATCGCCACGCGCTGTTTCTCCCCTCCGCTCAGCCTCAGGCCCCGTTCGCCCACCGGAGTGTCGTACTTATCAGGGAAGGTCAGAATTTTTTCGTGAATATCCGCACTTTTGGCGGCCAGTATTACATCCACATCCGGTGCATCCACGCGACCGTACTGAATGTTATACTTAATGGTATTGTTGAACAGTACCGTATCTTGTGGAACCACACCGATGGCCTTCCGCAGCGAAGCCTGCTTAACGGTTTTGATGTTCTGTCCATCGATCGAGATGCTTCCGCTTTCGACATCGTAAAACCGGAACATCAAACGCATGATCGTACTCTTACCTGCACCCGACGGCCCAACGATGGCCACCGTCTTGCCCGGCGGCACCGTGAAACACACGTTGCGCAATACGAACCGCTCCGCGGTGTAGCCGAAAGTTACATTCGAAAAGTCAATGCCTCCACCGCGGATCACCGCAAGTTCACCGGCTCCCGGTGCATCGATCACCTCCTGCTCTTCCCGCATCAGATCGAACATATTTTCCATGTCGACAAAGTTCTTCTGGATGGCACTGTTGAGGGAAAATGACGTTTTATTGCCAATTTTAAATGTGGTCGAATGATGGGCGGATCTTACCGGTAGAAGGTTCCGAACCAGTTCAACGGGACGTATAGTTGGATTATGTAACTCGCAAACAACACGTAGTCACCTACGGTGAGTCCTTCCTCATACACAACCAAATACGCACAAAGAAGCGATCCGGCCAATAAACCACTGCACACGATGATGTTCTGCATGGTGTTGAGGATGTTTAGTGTGATCGATGATCGCCATTCTTCGTCCTGTGCGAAACCGGAATATGAGCAAAGGCCAATTTCAAGATGTTGTTGTAGTTGCTAAAACTTACCTGATACTTGATTATAGCTTCTCGGTAGCAGTCCACCTCGTACTGTTCGGCGCCGTAGTATTTGACGGTTTCGAAGTTCAGCAACGAATCGACGCTGCGAGCCTTCTGTTGATTGTCGGCGAGATTCATGCGGCGCTGGAATTTGGTACGCCATTCCGTTACCATGATTGTGGCCACTGGGGGAAAAAAATAGACATGGAATTAAAGCTATTGGATTACTGGTATCACAAGACCCAAAGGATCCAACGAATCAAAATCAAAAAAATGCAAGCGTCATCGAAACAGATAGTTGAAAATGTAGGTATCTAACTGTAAAGCAACATAACAGAACATCCTTTACTGGTTGGATCATAAAAGCAATTACCTATATTTCGACGACGAAAACATCATCTTTTTCTTCGCGGCTTTGACGCTCTTACACGAGCTTACGCCTACTGGCCTACTGGCAAGCACAACGATACTCTATGTCCAGAAAAGTCAAGAACACTTCCAACCAAGATATGTTCTAGACTGGACCGGGAATCGAGCCCGCCGCTTCCGGCTTGATAATACCGTGCCTTCACTGACTAGACTATCAATCACATTTTCCAGAAGTTTGCGGAACTCCCTCAAGTTCAGGGAACTTAATTGGTGCGCTGAAAACTTCCGGTAAGCTCAATGGATTGGAAAGAAGTTCAGGGAGCTTCGTTTGAGTTCACGTAATTTAATGTTTGTTCAAGAAACTGCATCTTCCTGTTCAAGCACAGGAATCTTCGTAGAAGTTAAAAAATGTTCGTAGAATTTCGCAGAACTTTCTTGATATACAAGGATTTTCTAATCATCTTAATGCATCTCCGGGACGCGCAATAGACTGCATTTCGAAAGCTCCTGGTTCCTACAGCCCAGTAGTCGTCCTGGACCTGTGGATCAGAAGTCTTCCAGCTTGCTTCTACTGGTAAGTACAATCAATATATTGACCATTCGCTGCCTGATACCGATCACATTTTCAGCAATTCGGACTATATTAGTCATTGTGATGATGCCGCTGCAACTCCTAATCATGGAAACCCGGAACGCACCGTAGAAAGTTAATCTATGACGAACTTCAACCACGCAACTTCGAAGTCGTAGCACTGCAGGAACTTTGCTGGACGGGACAAAAGGTATGGAAAAGCGGGCATCGAGCGGCTACTTTCTACCAGAGCTGTGACACCACCAACGAGCTGAGAACCGGCTTTGTAGTGCTGGGTAAGATGCGCCAACGCGTGATTGGTTGGCAGCCGATCAACGCGAGGATGTGCATGTTGAGGATTAAGGGGCGTTTCTTCAACTACAGCATCATCAACGTGCACTGCCCACACGAAGGGAGACTCGACGAAGAGAACGAAGCGTTCTATGCGCAGCTGGAGCAGGTGTACGACGGTTGCTCGCAACGGGACGTCAAAATCGTCATCGGCAACATGAACGCTCAGGTAGGACGGGAGGCAATGTATAAAGGGTGTCCACGATGAAATTGCCACACACAAAATTGATTCGCAAAATTCGAGTTTTCATCTGATTGCCATCAAATTTTCAGGGATTGAGAAATAACTATTAAACTTCATTTTACCATTTTACTCGTATTTTATTTACAGTCCATACGCAAATGCCCGCACCTTGGCCTTAACCCCGGCCATAAGATTCTGCACAACCTGTGAATCAACCGTTTTTTGCATGTAAACCCATACTTTCTTCAGTTCCTCGACTGTCTTCACTACCTTAGGTCGTTTAAGAAGGTGCTGCTTCATAATCGCCCAGTACTTCTCGATGTTGGGAGGGTTGAACATTTTCGGCACGAAATTGACCTTATTGTCCGCATACCACTTCAGCACGTCCTTGGAGTAGTGGCATGAGGCCAAATCCGGCCAGCAGATTGTTGGGACGTTGTGGGCCTTCAGGAGAGGAAGCAGCCGCTTCTGGAGGCACTCTTTTATGTACACCTGTCCGTTCATCGTGTCCTGGGTCACGAAAGGTGCACTCCGCTTCCCGCACGTGCAGATGGCTTGCCAAACCAGGAATTTCTTCGCAAATTTGGACATCTTCTGAGTGCGGACATGCTCCGGAACGCTGAACTTATCCTTGGCCGTGAAAAATAGGTTGCCGGGGATCTGTTTGAAGTCGGCCTTCACATATGTTTCGTCGTCCATGATGCAGCATTCAACTTTCGTCAGCATGTTGAGGTACAACTTCCTGGCACGGGTTTTGGCGGACTTGTTCTGCTTCTCGTCGCGATTAGGGGCCTTTTGTACCTTGAACGTTCGAAGCCCAGCCTTAGTTTTGGCCTTCTGGACAAAACTTCGGCTTAAGTGCAGCTTCTTAGCCACATCCCTAACGGAGGCGTTCGGATTTCGGTTGAAGGCCCCAACTACGCGGTTGTGATTTTTGGTGTTGTACGGAATTCTTTTTCCTTCACTTCTGGGCTTCCGATCGGTGGTCAACCGTTCCTCGAACCGCTTAATCACTCGCGACACCGTGGAATTCGCGATTCCCAACGTTTTAGCGATGGAACGATGCGAGAGATCCTTGTTCTCGTGATGAATGCGCAAGATTTTATCACGCACGAGCTGTTCTTTCGACTCCATTTCCGCGAGTTTTGATCACAGGACTTTAAAAATTGCAGGATGTAAATAATGCACTATGAACTAAATCCACCCAAATTTTCATTAAATTCTACCCAACGGTTAAAAAGTTAGAGCAATTTCATAGTGTGGCAATTTCATCGTGGACACCCTTTAGACCGGCAATCGGGCCAAACAGCCTGCATGCCGTATCGAACGACAACGGCCAACGATGCGTGAACTTTGCAGCCTCTCAAGGAATGGTAGTTCGAAGTACCTTTTTCCCCGCAAGGATATCCACAAAGCCACCTGGAGATAACCAGACCAACACACAGAAAACCAAATCGATCACGTTCTACTAATCGACGGGAAATTCTTCTCCGACATTATCAACGTCCGCACGTACCGCAGTGCGAACATAGATTCGGACCACTACCTAGCTGCAGTATGCATGCGCTCAAAACTCTCGACGGTGCATAAGACTCAGACAAGGTAAGTAGTGGAAGACCAGCCAAAATTATGGACGCAAAAGGATTTCGTTCTCTTTCTCGTGCCATGGTTCAAGCCCTCTGGTTTGGCAATCAATCAATATGTGTACCAGAACGAATGTTTGAAGAAAATTTTGATCCCGTTTCTACAAAAATATCATGCTGATGGACAATACGTGTTTTGGCCGGATAAACCGTCATCGCATTACGCCAAAAAAACACAATCGTTCCTGAATACCCATTCGATCCCATTTGTACCCAAAACCAAAACCCGACAAATCTGCCACAGTGTCGCCCAATCGAAGATTTCTTCGGGGTTTTGAGCTCCTTGGTGTACAAAAATAACTGGAGAGCCAAGTTGATTGGTAGAATCAAGAGATGCATTAACAAAGTTGACATGAAGGCCGTACAACGCTCCTGTTCCGACATCAAACGGAAGCTTCGCCGAACATCCGATTACGGACCGTTTTCAAATGTACACTTTTTTTTTCAACAATGGACAATGTATCTTTAATTTCAATAAATCAGATCTTCTTCAAGTATGTTTGTCTTTTTTTGACAGCTTGAGAAAGAAATTCCAAAATTTTAGTTGCCACCCGTTAACTGCAATAACCTGGAAAACCTGGAATCCTCAGGAAATTTTATTTTTTTCTTAAAATGCCTGGAAGGCTCAGAGAATTTAATAATTTTCTTACCTAGGATATTTAAAGAACAAAATGAATTTTAAAATATAAGCATTTAATGTTTCTCGTTATTTACATTCACACTTTGAACTTTATAGATCTACAGTGAACTAATATTCAGTAACAAACAAATTTAAAAAAACAGAAGCTTGAAATGTTTTTTTCTTGTTTGAAACATGCATATTTCCTAGAAATTTCAAATTTGAACTAGTTCTCGACTTAAAAGCTATAATACTTCAAGAAATTTTCAAGAATCAGGAGTAAAAATCCATGCACAGTTTTAAAAGCTTGTGGAATTTTATTATAATATCTAAGGACCTCATTTCAAGGACGTTCTGCGAACAAATCTTTCAGAAAAACATCAAATGCAATCTGCTTTTAAGGTAGCTCTGATGAATTTAAGGTTTCTTGTGAAACCTGAAAGTTTTGAGTAAAATTTCAAGAAACCCTGAATTGAATTCAAAGCAAATTTTAATAAAAACTCTGAAAATTTCTGAAGAGCACAATCCTTCAGAGCAAAATTCCAAGGACCTTCTGAGGATAATTTTATAAGGTTGTGGAAGAAAACGAATCCAGAGCATAAGTCTTTGGAAACTTTTTGAAAATACTAAAAGGAGGATTACAATTAAATTTGAGAATAACTCCAAAACATCTTCAAAGGAATTCGGAAAATAAATTCAGGAGGTTTTGCCAAACAAATTATGAGAAGAAATCTAAGGAATTTGAGAGGAGAAATGCCACTGAATTCTTAGGAGACTTTCAATGTGAGTAGAATTCCAAGGGAAGGAGTGAAATTCAAACAGTGATTCTGAAATGAATTCAATGAATATTCGGAGATTTTTTCCAAAGGCTTTCTTATTGTATTAATTTTTAAGGTAATTCCGAGGAAAACTAAAAGAAAATTGAATTAGCAGGATAGCTTTATTGAAATGTTGAGGAATATTTCAATAGAAATCAGAACTACTTGAAAGTTCCCAAATGTTTCCCGAAGTTAATGGAACTGCCTGGAAGTTCTTTTGTAGTTTTAGAAACTAGCCGGATGCTCACAATACTTTTCATCAAATTCTTAAACTCCCCTGAACTTTATAGGACTTCCTAAAATTTCCTCAATGTTTCTAACGTTGCCTTGAAGTTTCGAAAATTTTCCTTAAGTATTATAACCATTATAAACGCTCACTTATTTTCCCTGAACTTATCTATGGTAACCTGAACTTCTCTAAATTTGTTTAATAATCCGGCATATTTTCTGTTAAATATTCATAATTCCATGACGCTTCTGACGTTTTCGGATCAATCATAGAATTCATGGAATACCCCATAATTCCACGGAACTCCTTGTAAGTCTCTGCAAAATTGCTTAAGTTCATGGGATTATTCTGAAGCTATCTGATCATCCTTGAAATACTCGGAACTTGGCTAAATATCATGA